ACATCAGATTTTTTTCAAGCTAGGGAGGATCACCCCCCTTTTTATCAGCAGCGTTTTGGGGGTACGTGCACTGCAGTAGACATAACAATACCTCACACAGGGGATAGTAAACCATCTGTGTTCAAAAAGAATGTTTTATAATAAAACAGATAGAATTCATGACATAAGTATTAATCTCTTAGCATTTACTTGGGATGTTTGTGGGAGGTGCACATCTTGTAGCCATGTGCGAGGAACCAGCCTCTCCAAATTGTGCAGATTTTGAGAAGTGCTGTGGAACTATTATCCCCAACTATTACTCAATCTGGAGGCCATACCCTTCATCTGTACTTGTATACATCTCTTAGAGAATGTTGAATTAACCTTTAACAAATATCCTTTTAAACATTGATTCAGTTATTTTGGGCAAATTTCTTCAAGTTGATTTCATTTTGGAAACTCTCAAAATTGTTTTGTTTCAGGAATTCAAAGGTTGGTTTGGTTTGGTATGTTTGTGTAATGCTGCCGTCAGCAATATTCCAGCTACATGACAATGGTTTGTAAAATAATCGTTTCTGGACCAGGTAATCCAGTGATTGACATCATGAGCATCAGTCTGCACCATTGGGATACGATGACATGCATCAACCTAGTCAGCGAGCTTGACTATCTGAGCCTGTTAGTCGCCTCTTACGACAAGCATAGTTATGTCTTACGACAAGCTTGGGTTGCTGAAGACCAATTATAACGTGGATCTTCATGGGTCTCAAGTTATCAAGTAGAGGTTACTTAGTATCCAATTTTCTGAATGAATCGTAACCAAGTGGTCGTGTGATGAATGCCAGCCTCACGAGCTCTGAGTTACTTAGTGCCTGATCACAAGACCAAAGTACTGTTCATGTGTCATGTTTCTAGTGGGAGAAATAATTTTTATTTTTTGGAATAGGTCTTCAGCAACCCATTCTTGCAGTAAAAGGCGATTAAGCTTATTCATTTACTCAATATCGCTGAAATAATGCTGAATGCACCAAAAAACAACATTCAATTACTCAATATAGCTGAAATAATGCTGTTCATCCACAACAGGGTGTAGTATTAATGCCTGCTGTATAACAAACCAGAGAAATCTGCAAACATATTAATTGTCAAGAAAAATGATGGTTTCTTGGTGCCTATATTCTGTTGAGTAATTTCTGGAGTTCTTGAACGTACCCCATGCTTGTCGAAAGAGGCGACTAACGGGATCGATGGTCAGGCTTGCTGACTTGGTTGATGCATGTCATCGTATCACAATTGCTTGGATCGATGCTCATGATGTCAATCATTGTTTTCCCTATCCCATTGATTCAACAAACTCAAGCCTCTAACACAGTTTTCCCTCCCCCACTGATACAACAAACACCAGTTGCATGGATCAATGCTCGTGATGTCAGTCACTGGATTGACTGGTCAAGAATCGATTATTTACAGACCGGCGTCATATAGCTGGAGTATTGCTGAGTGTGGCATTAAACAACAACCAACCAAACAAAAAACTTGGACATGGGAGAGCCATGCAGTATACCACTACATGGTCTCTGGGCCAGGGCACTTCATGACATCATTAATGACACATGAGTACTGGAGATTTTCATATCTCCATTCACCGAAGAGTGTCATTTTATTTTACAATGGTCATGATTTCAATGCAGCCAGTGAAATATCATTTTGTAATGACCAGAACAGTGGACTGTGAACAGGTCTAGGGGGATGATGATTTGGTCCAGTGACAGGTTGATGATTGGGTCCATGGACAGGTTGATGATTTGGTCCAGTCACAGGATCTGGTTACTGTAGTTACCATCATTTAACTGGTCCCTGACAGGAGGACTCTGGCGGTTGCAGATATCATCACTGCAGTGATGTCATTCAATTAGCAGCATCTGCCTTTTGTCCTGAGCATTGTTAGAGACACTCATGGTTCATAGATTTGATAACACTGACACAATGCAAGGAACAGGTATTTATTAACCCTTGTGAACCTTCTTAATAATCTTAATCAGCAGTTATTACTTCATTGAAAAAAAATGCAAAAGATAATTTTGGACAATTCTTTTTACAAATAGTTCCAAAATATTTTTGAATTAGTGAAGAAGGTTTTTTTGCAGCCTTATCTTATCAAGGAAGGCAAACAAAATGGTTTCAAAGTTTGTGAAAAAATTGCAAATTGAACCTTGTTTTACAAGTAAATACATTACATGTTGGGATACTCTTAGGCTTTTCGTCAGGATGCTGTGCCCACTTAAAATATCACACAGAAAATATATTGTATCTATATAATAATTATGATAATTATTATAAAATCTAATCTTACCAGGTACCCATGAATATATCAGGAGAAACTTAATCCATAGTGCTAAGAAAATCACATAATATAATGTCCCCCACATCAACAGAGTGAAAAACACCACCCTACCAATTAACCTCTATCTCAGTCATTAAGCTACATTAAGCTTGTAAAACCTTTCTATTAGTAGCTGTTACGGTGTGTCAGTTATCTCCCCTTGTAATTGATTTATACCTAATTAAGAGGCTTAGCGTTGTGGGAGGTATTTAGCTTATTGGTAATTATGAAGATTAATGAATTATCTTCTCATTCCTGTATCATTAGTAGAATTATCCTTACTTGTACACCTACTTACCCTCAGAATATACATCAAAGAAGCATTCACCCACAGAATGAGGAAAAAATGTGTTACATCGGTATACATAGATCTGTTTTCATAAGTAAATGTTTTCCTAAGTATTTTCTTTGAAGCACAGTCTTTTTTTGTGAACAACATTGAGAGTGATTAGATAACAGAGGGGATAGTTGGTGTTATCACACAGGTAACATCTCACTGTGAATGATAACAGCGCTATCGCTGGAGTCTCAATGGTGTTTAAAGAGTGCTGGAATGCCTTGTTATTTCTGTGTAGACCTGCAGACTTCTGTGAGTGTTCTCCCTCTAGTTGCCTAGGTGGCGCTTTTCCAACTATGTCGTGGATGATGAAGTACACGTTGTCTCCAGTAGGCTCGTCTCACCTCTTAGACTGAGCGCTGCTGTTACGCCTATCGAAACAAGTTGTTGGCAAAAAATGCTCCCTTGAGATAAAAAAATCAACAGTTGGTAGTTATTTATTGAGTGTGAAATCTACTGCAAAACTTTCAAGCAGCGATAGAAAAAAAACCACCTGTGGACAAAGGCTGTTATTTTTTGTTATTTTTTTCCTTATCTTCTGTTGTACATAGCTTTAACAAAATGAAATTAAAGGTGTTAAATTAGCTTTTGGTTAGAGGTGCTTGAACTATATGCATGATGGGATTGAGGATGTAGATCACTGCCCCCCAAACCTTATCGTCTAAGAAACTAATCATTGCGTGTATATACCCTCTAGTATCCTCCAATGACAATCAGGTGGAACAGTTCAAAAATTTCCTTTAGCTTTGTTAAAGAAATGATCAGACACAAGTTAGAAGAGAATTTCTTTGTGAATATTGAAACAACCTCAATGTCGACGACATTTGAATGTTACATAATGAAATAAGTTCATACAGGCATGATATTTTGCAAGAAGGTTATGAAGAAAAAATAACTTGATATTGAGCAAGCAAATGATTCAGGGAGTGTAGGGTTAACAGTGTGATAATATACTGGTAATGTTAGGTATGGTTGCTATGCATATGTTTGTGGAACTACATTGTTGTGTATTGTGCTGTACATGCACCCTTTTGCATGGGAATGATCTGAAATGAATGGACCATTTATGATTTCTCTGTAGCGTTTTCTGGAAACTACATCATTCACCTGATGAAGGAGTAAGCATATTCTCCGAAGTTGACATCCATATATTCTCTTCCTTACATGATCATTGTCCATATTTGTTTTGGAGAGTTATGATTTTATTGTTATCCACCTGTTTTGAACAATGGGAGGGACATAGTGATCAGTGTGTCCGTCTGTCCGCCGTCCGTTTCCGTTTCCGGAGCAGAACTCCTAAACCATTGAATATTTCTTGTTAAAACTTGCGATAAAGATCTGTCCAGTGGTAAACTGGTGCCTTCTGATGATTTTGGATATTTATTTTATATATTTTTGGTCATGCCATCTGTCATCTGTTTTCTGTTTCCGAAACAGAACTCCTAAACTGTTGAATATTTCTTGTTGACACCAGCTATACAGATTAGTCTAGTGGTGAACTGGTGCCTTTTGATGATTTGGGATGTTGAGTGAGTGAGTGAGTGAGTATGGTTTTACGCCGCTTTTAGCAATATTCCAGCAATATCACGGAGGGGGACACCAGAAATGGGCTTCACACATTGTACCTATGTCGGTAAGCGGACCCGGGTCTTTGGCGTGACGAGCGAACACTTTCACCACTAGGCTACCCGACTGCCCCTTTGGGATGTTGAAACATAGTGAACAGCATTATTGTTTTCTTCACTGAACTGAACGTATTCAGTGGCAATGAATCAGTAGAGGGGTATAAGTAGCCAAACTCCATTACTGAGTTGCACAAGAACAGGGGTATATGTCATCTCCTGATGACTCTTGTTCTCATACCCATGATCATGTGTTTCCACAGAGCGGTACATGTTAAACAGTGATAACTGAAATAATGTTCAAAGCAGCATTAAATTCCCCTCATTCAACCCTCCAACCCCTTCTCCCCCAACACACACATATACATACCTCACTCTCTCCAACACACTCACTCACTCCAACACACTCACTGCTTTGTTAACATGTTTGACCTGTTTTGATGCTGGTGTTTGACTCCTATCATAATGGTCATGATCACATTCCATCATGGCCACCATTTATTTTGATTTTCAGATTCTGCAGATCACGTCATCCTTGTGCACACACTCTGATGCATCATGTTTCCAACTTAGCCTCATTTGGATGTCTTTGAATGTCACTTTATCATTCTCATTAGTTTCCAATCTTCTCTTCTGTTTCCAATATGGCTGCCAACTGAGCCTCATTCTGATGTTACAGAGTTTGATGAGTGTCTGGAGGGCACCCACCACTGTCACCCACAAGCTCGGTGCACGAAGATGAAGGGTACCTACCGATGTGACTGCCTCGACGGATATGTTGGGGATGGATTCACTAAATGTGAACGTGAGTACCATGATTTCTTTCCATCTTATCATCACAGAATATATGTTCACTGTATTTGGAGCAGGAAACAACATGAAAATTGACATGCTGATAGTGTAATTCACATTTAAGGGACTGAAGAGTTGGGAATTTGGTGCTTCTCTGTCTGAGATGTGATATTTATTGTGTCACAATGCTTCAAAATGCAACATTAGCTAATTTTGACATCCAAATATCTATGTGTGTGGTTCAGAATGAAACCTCGCAAGGTTCTTTGCTTCATATTCATTAAAGTGGTGTCCACTCGCTAACGAAATATCTGTGCTTCAAAACTTGTAATGCCTCAGTTAATATCTATTAATATTGTCTGTTAAAGAAATACCTAATTCTTTTGAAGTAATTACAATGACATACTTTGTTTAAAGGCAGTTAATGGTGATTCCTTAATTCAAGGAAACGTTGGATGGGACAGTCCTATTTTACTCATTATTTTTACTAACAACAAATAGTTCATTTATGAGTGAAAAAAAACCCCACTAAGATATATGATTGATCCTTCACCTATTCTCTAGTTTTACCAAACCATCAGTTTATGGAGCAGTCTGTGATGAAAATAGTCAGTATTGCTGTAGTTGGCAGATCTGTATACACAAAAAAATTAACTTGCTCGTAGCTAATGTGCCTATACTGAGGAAATGATAATGGATTCTCTTGCAAACAGGGTTGTACATTAATACTTATACAGCACTTGTCTCAGTGTTATGAAAACTGTCTATTCAAAGTGTTTGGGTATTTTTTAGGGTGAAGGGAAGTGACAATGACAATAGAGCTTCACCTAGGGAAGTGTTTGAAGTGCTCTTCAGGGTTGGAGGGAATCATGTGGTATGAGGACAGTGTACACCAGCTGGGCATTTATGTACTAGTCGTCAGGACTAGTGACCACATACTCTGAACACAAGTAGTCCTGGGATAGTTTACTAGCCCATGGTACTAAAGAGCATCAGCCTTGTCTTTTAAATACATCAGTATGCATGTGGTTTGAGATCTTGCCATGTGTGAATTGCTTGATTAATACAAGAAACTTAGTGATAAGTTACTAAACTGGCAAGTCAACTGGGATAGTGTAGAACATCATTTTACTAATGCTTATTGAGCTTCCCAAGCCTCCTGCTGAAGAGACAGTGGTCATATCATGAGCTGAAGTTGAAGGGGGTACTCAGGGAAAAAACAATTTTTTGTTATAAGGATTTTTGAATTTTAGACATAGTAACAGAAAACCCATTAACAAGATGGACTGTTGACAGTAAGGTGATGCAGTTGCATGTCATCACAGTTCATTCACGAACACCATGGTGATCCATGGACCCACAGCACACATTATGTTATAATGCAGGTCAGGTAAATACACCAAACTCTGCCAATACACAACTTCTTAAGACACTCAGAAAAAAATTAATGATCCATTCCGGTTGAAACTCAGGAAATCTCTGAGAGTTTTTTGTCCTGAAGAATCTTCATTCCATAACTTGTGTTCCTGAAACAGTTCTGCTCATTATTTTGACAGCTTTTACAGGTGTTTGTTTGAAATACTCTTTGACAACTTGTCTGAATATAAGACAACAAAAATTGGTTAAATCTTTGACTGTTTGACTGTGAAAAAGTGTGACTAATGCAGACAATTAGGCCAGTAGTCCACCTCCTTGCTGTACCCCAGTGTCAGCACATCACCTGATTTAATAGGAGGCATTTCTGATCACTTAATTTACAGTTTTAGGATCTAGCTGTCCGCCTCCATGGACTTGTGAATAGATTGTTTGCCCTGAGAGTGAAAGGATGTTGGTCATACCCAAAAAAATCTTATACCAAGAGATTTTGCTTGTTGTTACACTGCCTTGCAGTTAAAAGTCAGTGGACTAGCAGACAGCATTAGTCCGGACTAGTACAATCAGCCACACACACAGATGCATGTATGTCCCTACAGAAGTGCAATAATGTTGAACACAAAATTAAACTCCATTTCACATCACTTTCTCTCTTAGGATTTAGCAACTACTGATTGACAGTGTACTTGGCATCAGTAGGTTGAAATCAGACAGTGGGTTGACATCTGACTTGACAACAAAGTATGTGTTGGTATAATTAAGACTTAACAGCAGTGGGTTGACATCTGACTTGACAACAAAGTATGTGTTGGTATAATTAAGACTTAACAGCAGTCGGTTGACATCTGACTCGGCAACAAAGTATGTGTTGGTATAATTAAGACTTAATAGCAGTGGGTTGACATCTGACTTGACAACAAAGCAACCTGTGAAGACCCAGGGTAGAATAGGTCTTCAGCAACCCATGCTTGGCGTAAAAGGCTACAGTGGTTGTCGTAAGAGGTGACTGACTAACAGGATCAGGTGGTCAGACTGGCTGACTTGGTTGATGCATGTCATCTATCCCAGTTGCTTGGATTGATGCTTTTGATGCCAATCACTGGATTGTCTGGTCCAGACTCGGTTATTTACAGACGACCGTCATATAGCTGGAATATTGCTGAGTGCAGTGTGAAACAGCAAACAAATAAACACACAAAAGAAAACAAAGCATGTGTTGGTATTAATATGACTTAGCTGCAGTGGGTTAGCATCTGACTTGACAACATTATGTTGACATTTGTACAAGCATCATTTGATTAAAACAAAGATGGTTCATGCTACAACTGCATATTGTACTCATTTGACATTAAAAAAAAACACAACTTGTTCCACAAACTCATAATTATCTACAGACACAAATATTGTTTCACCCCTGACTAAAATCTGTGAGTAGGTAGCTTGAAGAATGTTTTGCAAAATAAGCACTTGTACTTATTCCAGAGAAAACTATCCACAACTACATTCAAGATTTATTGTGTTACGTTTGTCTAAATAAACATAATGTCTCCCCTGCATTTTGTTGGAATTCCTCATAATACAACATCATAAGTACATTTCTATGACTGATTACTGGCAGAGCGGTGTAGGAATACACTGGTCATATTTACCTTTGCTGCAAATAGATCCACCATTGCTGCCAGCTTAATAAGTACTCTTTGCTTGTTGAAGATGAAAAGATTTTTGAAAGAGGATTCTGTGTTTATAGAGGCCTCCTTCATTCTGACATCTATTTTTAACCATCATTAAAAAACTCAACTTCTTTTTATTATGCAATATTATTTCTGAACAAGGCTGGTCTGTGTTTGACATTTTTTTGTAAGTGATAAAAATTTGAGTTCACTTCTGTACTTGTTAGTTTAATATTTGTGGGTTTTTTAGTTTAACAGTTAATATCTGTTTGGTTGTAATGAAGAATTACTTGTTATCTCATATGGGATATTGGATAAAGTACTTGCTGTGTTATTATTTTCATATCCAGAGTGAAAAGAGTTCCATATCCATGTTTGTATTGCTAGAATATCCCATGGGACTTTTCAGGGTCTGGAAATACGATGTTGATTTTTATGGGAAAATGAGCATCATCTGCAGGCAAATATTTGTACTGCTTCGAAGCCATGCCTTAAAAATAAATTGTGCACATTGTGGCAAATGTGGGATTTTCATGCGTTTGTGCAAATATTGTTTTAAGTTACAAACATGCAATTTCCATCTAATATTGATTGATTCCATAGATTGGAATTTGACATGAGCCCTTCAAAACGATAACAGCTAATTTCTATCAGGAAAATCAATAGAGAAATATCCAAGAATTAGCCATAGATGACAGAGTTTAAGGGGTTAATGAGTTAAGGAAATAGAGCCATTAGTGGCTTGATTTAGCATGGTGTGACATGTATGGAAGAATTCAGATGCTTAAGAGTGTGATCTGGATCATGATGAACAGGTACTTAGAGCTGGAATATTGCTGAGTGCACTGATGAACAACATTCATTTACTCAACATAGCAGGAGTAATGCTGAGTGCACCATAAAACAACATTCATTTATACAATATAGTAGGAATAATGCTGAGTGCACCATAAAACAACATTCATTTATACAATATAGCAGGAATAATGCTGAGTGCACCATAAAACAACATTCATTTATACAATATAGTAGGAATAATGCTGAGTGCACCATAAAACAACATTCATTTATACAATATAGCAGGAATAATGCTGAGTGCACCATAAAACAACATTCATTTATACAATATAGTAGGAATAATGCTGAGTGCACCATAAAACAACATTCATTTATACAATATAGCAGGAATAATGCTGAGTGCACCATAAAACAACATTCATTTATACAATACAGCAGGAATAATGCTGAGTGCATCATAAAACAACATTCATTTATTCAATATAGCAGTAATAACGCTGAATGCATCATAAAACAACATTCATTTATTCAATATAGCAGGAATAACGCTGAATGCATCATAAAACAACATTCATTTATACAATATAGTAGGAATAATGCTGAGTGCACCATAAAACAACATTCATTTATACAATATAGTAGGAATAATGCTGAGTGCACCATAAAACAACATTCATTTATACAATATAGTAGGAATAATGCTGAGTGCACCATAAAACAACATTCATTTACTATATACAGCAGGAATAATGCTGAGTGCACCATAAAACAACATTCATTTACTCAATATAGTAGGAATAATGCTGAGTGCACCATAAAACAACATTCATTTACTCAATACAGCAGGAATAATGCTGAGTGCACCATTAAACAACATTCATTTATACAATATAGCAGGAATAATGCTGAGTGCACCATTAAACAACATTCATTTACTCAATATAGTAGGAATAATGCTGAGTGCACCATAAAACAACATTCATTTACTCAATACAGCAGGAATAATGCTGAGTGCACCATTAAACAACATTCATTTATACAATATAGTAGGAATAATGCTGAGTGCACCATAAAACAACATTCATTTATTCAATATAGCAGTAATAACGCTGAATGCATCATAAAACAACATTCATTTATTCAATATAGCAGGAATAACGCTGAATGCATC